TAGGGTTTTAGGGTTTAGGCTCTATCCTCTGGTAGGGACTAGGCTTGGCGTTTGGGGTACACTTTACTCTATTGAAAGCGCTTTGTTTTTGGGGTCCCCAACTGGCTCAGGAGCGGCTCCCATCCGGGTGGACACTTTGCAGTACTTCGGCTCCTTGGGGATCAATATCAATGAGGTGACAGGGCGCGAAGAATTGGGGACCCTTAGCAGAGTGTAGGCCCAGGTATCACTACACCCCATATACCGGAAACCTTATAAACCCCTAAGCTTGAAGCACTATTGCTCCTAAATTCCCAACACCCTAAACCCTAAATCCTAAACCCTAAACCCCAAATCTCCCCAAATCTCCCGGCAGGTCTACGGTATGTCGGAGTCCTGTGCCGCTTGTACCGTCTCAACGGACCGGGCACACTTCTGGGGCTCTTGCGGCTTTCAGCTTCCGGGGGTAGAGGCGGGTTTAGGATTTAGGGTTTAGGGTCTGTCTTGACGGTGATTACTGTTTAGGGTTTAGGGCCATAATCTTGGTACCTTTGTATTAGGGAGTTTAGGACTTGGGTTCTCATGGGCTGAGGGCTTGCTGGGGCTGAACATGCTTGAACGGTTTGGTTTGGGTTTGCGTTTGGTTTTTGAGGTTTCAGAAGTTTGGGATTCCAGATCGTTGGATTCAGGTCTGGAAAAATTCATAAATGCCCTCAGGTCAAGGCGTTTAAGGTGGACCCTTCCGACAACAACAAGAAGGAAGAGGTTCCCCGAGCGCCTGGCATGGATGTGATTGACGAGGCCTACCAGGGAGAGCTGTGCTTTCGGGGTCGCAGTATCATGATGCCTGGCTGCAATTTAAAGGCATTTCTGCAACCCCAATTGCCTACAATTAATATGTAGGTTTACATAATTCATAAAACCATAGGTAAATGAGCTACATGTTGTTTTAGTTGAGGAAGTATATGGGGCTTTCTCGACAGTGCCTTTATGGGATTTTGCTTGGGATCCCACCCAAGAAAAGTAACCTGCATATACCCTAGGTTCCTGACGATCCTCCATTTCAACCCACGCCTATCCTTAGCCAGCCCTACACAGGGAGGTTAAACATGTTTTATTACCCTTAATTCCTGTATAATCGTCATGGTAAAGCCCTAGAATCCCTAGAACTTTAATTTTCAGACGGCCCCAAACTCTTTAGAAATCCCAAGCCCTAAACCCTAATCCCTAAAAGCCAACAAGGATGGGCTACCTGGGCCAACCCGACCTGGGTGCTGAACATGTGCGCCAGATCGAGAAGAAGACGGGTGAAACCATCGATGCGGAGCCTCGGGGGCCCGTCGTTTGCAGGGGCCCCTGCAATAAAGACTAGGGGATTTAGGGGTTTATGGTTTAGGGTTTTAGGGTTTAGGGTTTAGGGTTTAGGGTTTTAGGGTTTTAGGGTTTAGGGTTTAGGGTTTTAGGGTTTAGGGTCGTGTATTCGGGTCTATATTTGGTTCCCCCTATTTTGGGAAACTATCATGGTATATTGAACCTCTCCAAAGGGCTTCTTGTAGGGACTCCCGACAAGGGACCCCGAATATTTGGAACCCTCCCGTTTAGACCTTGAGTTCTGAAGGTTTGGTTTTGGGGGTAGGGGTAGGAAACGCCCAAGCTATACCTTAAACCCTAAAACTTTAAACCCTGTAGCCAGGTTCAAGCCAGTAGTCCCTTCTGGTTGCCATCGTATACATATGTACATGCACATGCCCAGCCTCCATCCCTCCCCCATCTACACCCGAGACAAACCTGGCGGCCAAGAAAGTTAGTTGCCATAAGCCCAACCCCTCAACCCCGTCAATCAGGGGTTCCCCGAGCTCTACACCTTAAAGGGCTTGACCCAACCCCCAAACCCCCTCAGGAAAAATCTTCCCTAAGCTCTAGAGTCCCCCTTAAGTAGATAGAATATGGCTTTAGGTCTATTATGATAAGATCCCCATATACCCCCCCATATTCTATCTACTTAAGGGGGCCTATACCCTGAGCCCTCAACCCTAAATAGTAGTTTCCATTTTCTTTTCCATTATCCCCTTATAACCCCTATAAACCCCTATATTATTTTATCTACTTAAGGGGGACTACAAACCCTAAAGGATTTTGAGAGTCTCCAACTCTGACCTAGGAAGGATGGCTGCACTCCGGTGATGCTGGGCTAAAGTTAAGGAGTTCTTGCATATTGGGAGAATATATTGGGTAGGCCTCTGGGATATTT